CGCTCATGTTTCACATCGCACCTAGAGTTTTTTGATCAAATTATCCAGAAAACAGATGTTGGTCAGTCGGTGATAATCATGTACTTAGATTTTAGTAAGGCTTTCGACAATGTCACACACAAACTTCGTCTAAAACTCCCTTCATTTAGCGTACAAAATCCCCCTTTATCTTGACTCAAATCGTCTTTAGAATAGCGTATCCAAATCGTTCGCTTTGGATCTTGCTTCTTTAAACCTGTGGGTGTAACCATTAGGGTTATACACGGAAGTATGGTTGGTCCATTGCTGTTTCTTCTTTTTATCAATGACGTGTGTTCCCTCTTTCAGTATGGTAAACCTTTCCTTTTTGACTTATTCATCCTCTTCTCTCACCAAAGAAGCTATATTTCAGCGGTAATCCAAGAGGAAATAAACAAGTTATACTAATGGACTGTTTCGTGGAATTTGCCACTTAATGTTAACAACAGTAGATTTATTCACATTGGCCGCTGTCTTAACTTAGATCTGACTATTAACAAACATAGACTCAGACCTCTCAACACTGTTCGTGACCTGGGTTTAAGATATAGCAACAGTCTGAACTTTTCTGAGCACATTATATCTCAAGTATCCAAAGCCAGAAAGCTAATCGGATTGATGATGATAAACTTCAATAATATTGAATCGAGATTATTATTATTATTACACAGAAAATGTATCTTACCCATTCTTGAATATGGTATTTTAGTTTACAAAAATTGCAGGCATAATGACCTGATTAGAATTGAAGGTGTTCAAAGAAGGTTCACCAAAGCTGTTTTGGGGTATTCCGACAGCAAGGACGATATTTCCTACTCCCCGGTATCCACTTCTTCATACTCTATGTTATCATCCTACATTCTACGCAAAAAGAAAAATATTCTAGATTCCAAGAACCTACACAAACTCATGCCAGAATTTTTTCGTAATCCGCTACTCAACCATGTGAAACACACTTCCAGTGAACCTCCGTTGCAGTGAAACTAAAACCCCGTTCAGAAGTCTCCTTGATGATTTTCTTTCCGAAAGTGGGTTATGTCACCTATTGAATATCAACGTATTCAATAATGATTTATACGAACAAGGTCCGTCATCCATCAAATTGACTGAAAAGCAAAATGAAACCTTTGAAACTTATCACGTCTATTTCATTCTTATTTTTATTCATCTTAATATATGAAGTCTGTTTATGTTTTTATTTATCATTATTACCGTTATTAATATCACTATTGGTCCTCCGACACATTAGATATTCTTTTTATCTCTTCTTATCCTTCTGAACATATTTAATTCCAGATTGTCCTTTGAAATCAATTGTGTCTTTCATAGCATCATTCTTAATTATTATTGCACAAATATTTATACTAATATCCGGTTTCACTCTGTGTACCATTACATAAGTCTACATGTATTTATTCGAATGCACTAAAGGAATTTTCTACCTTATTTTATTATTTTTTTTAATTGTTGGTCTATTTCAGAAGTCGATATTCATTACACAATTATTACTATCATGGTTTAACCCTTTCACTGGATGTTCATTTTTTTTATTTTCTCCTTCTAAATAAATATTATTCCTCAGATTACGAAGTTTGCAATTAAGACAATAACTTGTGTTGCACTTAAATTATCTTCTCAGACTCGTTCTATCTTCACTATGCATATATGACTCATACATATTGTTATTTGGTTATCCTTTTCATTTACTTGATACTTTTATAGCATCACTCCAAACTATGGCTGCACAAACATTTATTCCAGCGTCATACCTTACTGCAATATTAAGTTATTTTTCCTTATTATTTTCTATTTTATTTTTGTTACCAATTTGTCAATATATACATAGTCATTTTTTCTTGTTCTGTGTTCATAAACATACATATTAAATTATTTGCCTATTTCACGTCTCCTTTATTTTTCTCTCCTTCTTTAAAGTCAATTCAATATTCTTCTCAATTACACAGAACCTGATTTATTGCTATTATTCTATTATTACTCTCTTTTTCAAATATGGCGAATATAATGCTAACATTATTGAAACTTGTGTATTGTTGTATTGTTGAAGAAACCGGAAGTTGTTTCCTCACAACCTTTATGCACTTATAAGATGTTTGTGACTAATAATAATAATAATCACACGATTCTTGAAGCTGAGCAGAGAATTACTATGAAGATTGATATACGATACTTGAGTGACATCCTGACCCTGTTATTTATTCGCTTATCAGTCTTGACTGTTCTTATGTGAGCGCGTAGGTGTGTGTACATTTCGGCGAGACCCTAATTTATGGGCAAGTCAATCACAGGCGTTTTAGAGATTTCAAGGTTACGACGCCATTTTCAGTGCCTAATGCTAATGTACGATTAGTTCACGAGGAATTTTGTACAAAATGTGATAATTGCGTGCCCATAACAAATAAACCGTCGGGACTATAATTTGTGGACGAATCAATCAGACATAAGATAATAGACCACGGATTTTAACACGAAAGCCTTCCATCCATTTGGCTAAGTAAATTTCTGGCATTATAGCTGATGTCAGTTCGTGATGAAAATCCCATATATAATTCCTAACTAAGGCAAATTACGACAATTATTGCGAACTGGTTAATAAAGGCAGCAGTAACACTGGCTGCAGCCAGATATTACAATATATACGGATAATTGGAAAGCGTACAGACTCCTACATAGGCTTGATTATGTGCATCATGTCGTTATTCACAAGTGGCATTTTGTGCACTTAACAACCGGAGTGCACATAAACAATATTGAAGCTATGTGGTGAAGGCTCAAAGAGTTTTTGAGACTTTATCATGGCTCCAGAAGCCGACCATTCTGTATCCGTATGGATGATTTCCTCTACTGCATGCATTACGATTTTAGAACCTCTGAACTTCTTTCTAACCTTGACAAGTTTTTGGACCACGTATAAGAATTGTATCCACTTTATTTCCCTGGTTTTGTATAATATATTTTTACTCTATACTGACTGTTTGCTGATTGGTTAATATTTCTCAAGGTAACTAAAGATTTGTTCAGAGGTCGTCCATAACCTTTTTTTATCCCATTACTCATCACATGTCTGTAACTTACTTTTGTGTAACTATAAATATTGATTAACGCTTGGTTAAATGGGAGATGACTTACCAGCCATATCCACTCCGCGTCGTTCCTATTCTCTCTATTCCATTCGCTTTATATACAACATATATGTATTCACAAGTCCATTCTCGTTATTCGACTTATTCAATTCCGTTATTGGCTAACACGATTTAAGTCGATGATTATATACTAGAATAGGGGACATATATATTTCAATAACAATCATTCATACGATCTAATTAGAGTCAGATCTCGGGCCACTAAAGTGGAGAGCCTTTTCGACGACATCGATCTAAATGACGATTAAATAACGGGCCTCCACAAAATTTTTCCAAAGAATCGATCTTCTTAAACTAGCTCAACTTCCCATCCAGGTGTCCGTTTAACCATCAAGCTCATGACAGGACGATTTCGCTGGCCCGGTCTGAGTAGAGAAGCAAAGAAGTGGGCACGCCTTTACGTAAGCTGCCAGATATCTACAGTGATCAAACACAACAAATGTCCCTTAGGTTCACTTGAAACTCCTGATGCTCGTTTCTACCATGCTCATCTGGATTTGGTAGGACCTTTACAAAATTCAAAGGATAATCTTACCTGTCTGCGTTTGTAGGCCATTTCACACGATGGCCACAAGCAGTGACTATCAAGGACATTACTAATGAAACGATGGGTAGCAAACATCGGTTGCTCTTCAACTATCTCCAAAGACTGTGGACGCCAGTTCGAATCTGGACTCTTCCGTTGTCTGACTACACTATTAAGAATAACGCGATTCCGAATAACTGCCTAGCACCCACAAGCAAACGGGTCGGTGGAAAGCTTCTAATGACAGCTAAAGGCTTCCCTATCAGCTGTAAACGTTTCACAGTGGATCGATGCTCTTCTACACGTATTATTTGGTATTCGCAATGTAGTGAAATCTGACATTGGACACGCTGCAGCTCAAATCGTTTATGGAACGGCACTTCGACTGCCAGGATAGTTTATGGACCCTTCATCTTCGATAAACATGGCCCTAACCTCCTACACGAGCAGGCTTACATACGCGATGCGTTCGGTTAAACCTGTTTCCACTCGGCCGCAAACAACTGATGTTTTCGTCCAACCTGTCTTACGATATAGCACACACGTCTTTGTACGTTGCGACTCACTTCAACGACCTCACGGAACAACATGCGAAGGACCATTCAAAGTTCTTCAGTGTGGACCTATGTACTATATCATCGATCAGAATGGAACTAACGATAACGTCAGCATTGACGGTGTCAAAGGAGAGTATGTAGAATGAGATCCTAATAATATTGAGTTTCGTCCAGTAAACCCGAACAACACATGTCTCACTATTACGATAACCCATTCGATGACCAACAATACCGAAGAAGCTCTGATACCCGGCCTAAAACGACACACTCTTGAAGAAGGGTTGGGTTTCTGGAACGCTTAAACGATTTCTGCACACAGGAAACTACATAAATTCGGTTTTGTGTTGATTGTTTCACGTTACCAAGTGAAAATATCAAAAACAATCCTTCTCTCTAACATGAATTCATATATGCGCACATTTTTTACCTCACTAGAAACCCGATAAAACGATCAGTTTTCTAAACTGTCTAGAGAGAGACAGTATATTTCTGTCTTTATTCGGAATGCGAAATTTGTTTAATCATGTTAATCTACCGGCCATATTAAAAGTTAGCCGTCATCTTGTTTTGCCCTTGAAGGTTGGTAGACTAATTTATCAGGTTGCAAGTTGTAGGGTTGGTCGCGCTGTTACGCCCCGTTAATAATGTGATAAAATGGTGACAATTATTAATTCAGAGTAACGATCGCCGGCGAACTTCTGGTGAGAAATTTTTTTCGTTATTTTTTGAATGAATTAGATGTCAGAACCTCGAGAACATACCAATCTCGATTTTTTTAACCTGAACTTAGGCTCATGGAATAATGGTCCTGGTATGGAACTACTCAATAATGATATTTGGCCTCCCAATTCGGACTCTTACCTTGCTCTTACCAAACTGGGCAACATGGGTAAACTGCATACAGTTTAATTTATTTCAGCTCTTCCTGCCCCAAAACAACCCGAAAAACTAACTGTCGACTCTAAACCGGACCCTGCAAGTATGAGTTTGTTAGGCTTAATCTTATCGTTCTCAGTTACTTGGTCTAATAATCCTTTGAGGCTCTCTAACAAAATGTCCATTTGGTCGAGTGATATGCAAGTATCAGAGGCAAAGTCATCAGGTAATCACAACCAACATTGGGGAAGTTCAACTAAACAGAGTGTTTCACTTATCTCTGATGATGTAAGTCACTTGTTTTTTAAACTGAACTATAGGTCTGGGACTCATCTCACGATCCTGTGTTTCAAGTGCCAAGGGTTACTAGTGATACGGATCCTTGGAAGCATAGTCCAACACATTGTATTGGTTCCCTCACAGATGCGCCCATTACTATTGCGGATCCGGGTGTCTTGGCTGGTACATCCAGGTCTTCCGACATACCTCATGATAGTCCCGCTAATAGCCTTCCTTATGTTACTGCGATGCTTTCTGGTCTGAATCTTACTCCTAGGAATCCCGATGACCCAAGTAAGTCCTCAGTTTAACTAATCATAACACGCGGTGTTTTCTTAATCTTATATGTCTGTGCTTCAGATGATTTTGTTATTTGTTATAGCTAGAAAGTAGCATTCGGACTGTTGAATGCAACAAATAACGACTCAGGCTTCTCGTTTCAAACTATATTTCTGTCAAAGTGCTAGTGTCAGCACTATATGTGCATAGACCTCAGTATCTCTGCTTCATTTCAAATCCAAGACGTCTATTCTAAAATGCACTGCATCTAATAAACTACAATATCTCAAGGTGTCAGTTCTCCATTAATTAGAGTTTTTTAATATAGCTTATAAATAAATAATCTCGCTTACTATATCGACATTAGTTCCAAAACGAATATTGTCTAAACTAAATGACTAAAACAGCAGCTAGCAGCGCTTGTACTGATTTTCATATTTAAGAGCAGTTCATTATTGACATTTGTACTGTAAGTATTAACCCGTCTAACTAAATTCTAAAACTGGCTTCCCATACTTTGTTTTAGAAGTATTCACATTTTAAATGTGTCACACGAAATTGCGCTAGTTAACGTTTAAAATAATCGACACATACAAACCGATGTATTGAGCGAGTGTGTGACTTAATTGAGTAGCGCAGTCGGTTGACTTTAGAGGGAAGGTAGATATTTTTCACTTAGACTAATCTTGTCGTAAATGACTAGTCTGTAATATATCAGAATCAATGCACAGCATAGTGATGTGCGCACTTACGATATCAAACATAAGTTTTCTTATCCTTCAATTTGTCACGAACAATTTCATGTATTCACAAGGTCTTAAAAAATTCAACAGTCTATGGCCTGTTTTAGGTTTGTTTGTCTTGTGGTAATAACTGCCAGTCGACTTACACTTATACAATGGATCATGTTGTGTACCAATTTTCTGAGTTTGAATCCCCTTGTTTCATCAACTGTTATCTAATCAAGCTATACGTTTTACAGCATCGTATCTTGAACTTATCTCAACCGTGAGCAATATCGACGTCAAAAACTGTTATTTTCTATATCAACGCTTTGGATTCTGTCATAATAATTCGTTGGATTCCAAACTTTATCACTTTGGTACATCTCACGATGCTCCACTGCCTTGTAGGTCACACCGTTAGGTCAAAGGCTCGGAGTGTGGCCCCCTAGGAGAACCACCTGCTTCGGTGTGGGCACCCGGGCGGTATCACAGCCCACACACAAATATGATGAATTGTTGATGTTTATGGAAAATGCTTGTCTTGCTTCGATCAACAACCAAACGATTCACGTCACTATTATTATCATTACTATTATCACTATTATTATTATTATTATTATTATTATTATTATTATTATTATTATTATTATTATTATTATTATTATTGTTTTTTCACGTCATTTGTTCACTCTCTTTTATTCCCACTTTATGTATCCTTATTGTTCGACTCATACAGCAGCTCGCCTATGGTGGAAACTCGGTTCTGTCTAAACGTTCTCGAGTCACTGCCTGGTTGAAAATTGTATGCTACCATCAAATACGAATTCTTAATTAGTTTTTTTTGAAACCACGTGCACCATTCAAACTGGCTGCCTTCAACGTTCACACACTTATGCAGGTCGGACAACAGATAGGGCTAGCTATGTCTTTGGGAAGTTTTAGTATCGATGTTTGTTGTCTATCTGAGACCCGTATTCAAGACTCAAGTGAAGTACTTCAAATTCGCTCTCCCTCTGTCGCTTCAAAATGCTTGTTTTACGTGCGTTTATCCGGGGACCCTGTGACATCTTCGTCTGGTCTTGCTGGCGTTGGTGTCACACTGAGCGCTAGAGCTGAGGCAGCACTAATCGATTAGACCCCCATTAACAGTCGGTTATGTGCTGTTTGATTAGAAAGTTCCATCAAAGTGAGAAGAAATTGGCGTGAGAAACCATGCCTTTTCGTCATCTCCGCCTATGCTTCGACGGATTGCAGCCCGGATGCAATCAAGGATAAATTCTACCACCAGTTAACTGTTCCCCAGAAAGTGCGTTCGACAGATATTGTAGTACTAGCCGGAGACTTGAATGCTCAGGTCGGGCGTCTAGGCACAGAAGAGAGTCGTTCAGGTGGTCGATGGGAACTTGTTGGTCGCAGGACAGATAATGGGGGCCGTCTACTGCAACTGCGCACAGACCACAACCTGTTTCTGGCTAGCACAAACTTCCGGTACAGTCATCGCCGATGTGCCACCTGGCGTCCTCCCTCTGCATCTGAAGCCTGGACTCAGATTGATCACATCGCGATCAGCTACCGCTGGCGTGGTTGTGTACAAGACTGCCACTTCTTTTAGAGTACCTATCTGGACTCTGATCATGCCCTGGTCTGCGCCAATCGTACCTTACTTTTCAGTGGCCAACGAAATGACCGCTACCAAAGGATTGATGTCAGCAAGTTGGTTGCAACTTCTGTTGCAAGTAAGTATCGAACCGAGCTAGCTTCTAGGCTAGCTACCACCCCACCGAAAAGTATAAATGGGCTTTGGTTGCAACTTCATGACGCCATCAAAATGGCGAGTAAAGCCCCTTGCGGCTTCGCGAAACGTCACGCTTATAAGCGCTGGGTTTCTTCAGGCTCCTTACAAGTCATCGAAGCCCGTCGGTCTACTCTGGGTAACCGTGAGTTTGACCACAAACGAATGATGCTACGTAATGAAATCGGGCAAAGCTTGCGTAAGGACCGCGAAGCCTGGTGATCGGAGCGTGCCAAATGACTGGAAGCAGCAGCTGCATCTGGTAACTACCGAGAGCACTTCCAACTCATCCGAGCCACTGGCAGAAAGAAGTCTGTTGTGAGCGAAACAATCTGTGAGGATAACGGGATGCCCATCACTAATATCCATCGACGTCTTGGGCGATGGGAGGAATTATTCGAAGGGCAGTTCAACTGAGCTGCTGCTCCGGCAACATCGATCGGACTGTCCTGCCCTCCATGGCCGGTGACGACTGATCCACTAAATTAGGCGGAAGTCCTCAAGGAACTCCAGCTCCTAAAACGCTACAAATCACCTGGCCCAGATGACTTACCTCCGGCTCTTTTTAAAGATGGTGGTGACTTTCTGACTAAGGAATTGACGACGTTATTTACAAAGGTTTGGGAACTAGAGAGTGTACCAACGTCATGGAATGAGTCGATAGTTGTCCCTATCTTTAAAAAGGGTTCACGTTGTTCCTGTAACAACTATCGGGGGATAAGTCTACTTTCGATTGCATTCAAGCTATTGGGTTCCGTCATATTTCGTAGGTTGTTCAAAACGTGAGAAAGATTGACTCGCGAGAAGCAGACTGGCTTTCGTTCCAATCGAGGATGTATTGATCATATCTTCACCCTCCGCCAAATGTTAGAACACCGTCATATTTATCAAAGGCCAACAATCATAGTGTTTCTTGACGTTAGTGCTGCCTTCGATTCGTTGGACATTATTTATGTGTTCAATTAAATAAATAATAAACTTTGGTTGCCAAAGTTTTATCTCTTGCACTTCGAGCCGTTAAGAACTATGATAGTTGTATTGTAATGTGTTACACATGCTGGTGTGGAAAATCCGTAGTGTACAGTTATCTTTCTGAAGTTCTGTAATACCACTATGTACTGAGAACTAACTAGGCACAAAAGCTTCTTAGTACTAGATCAAATATTGTGGTATTCTGTGCTCACTACTAACTTCATACTGAATAGAATTATTTGAAAACAAATATTCAGGTAAATTATTCGTTAGTTCCCTAAATAATCTGTTAACGTGGAAACTTTTTGTTTCAGCGTCCGATGTCAAATCGTCCATTGTCTGTGCTAACATGAATGATGTTGCGTTCTCAGCAGAACAACTCTGTGACAGACTAATCAATACAAACGAGGGTTGGGGGCGACGACCAATTGATCAAGCAACACCTTGGGAGCCATTAGATCCAAAGTTGGGTGATCAAGTGAATCGCAGTGGCATAACTACACCTACCCCAGGAGCTTGTCCTTCTGGGTTTGTAAGTGGAAGTCTTAGGATATCTCATACCCACTCAGCTGATTCTAACGTTTGGGCAAGTGGACCGCCAACAGGAACAGGAATATGGGAAATGCACTATGAAAGTTTAAGTGGACGCTCGGCTGCATGGCAGGAAGAATCACAATCCTCGACTTACCGTGATGCTTCGCCTGTTACCAATATTGGTCCTAGTACCTTAATAAACTGTAACATGAACGCCAATTCTCGAGTTGCAACACCAATGCCACTTAACCGTCGAGACTGGGAAGATAATGAAAATAGTAAGCACTAGATAATTTAAAGTGTTCATTCTGATTTACGTGCTATGTATATATTATATGTGCTAATGAAGTTTGGCAACTTGGACCGATGCACATATGTGCCTGGTCCTACGTTGTAGCTATGTATATTTAAAAGCCTGGTTTAAAATAATTGTATAGCAACAAATGTACCATTTTAGTTTTTAACCATTATATATGGTCGGTTTGTTGCACTCGGACTTACACTTTTAAACATTTTTGCACGTTTTAATTTCCACTAGTTCACTGTTGTATGATATATAGTAGATCTGAACTCGATAAAAAGCGTGCAAACCACTCCATGGTCCTGGTACATATATCACAGCATCACTTTTTACCGATAATAAAATAAAGGGAAAAGTTAGTTATAGTGTTTTCATCACGGACTTACAAGCTGTAATGCAAGAATGTTTTGTAGCTGTATTCGTGGATAAATTTTATTCAATCCAAGAGGCACTGTCTTCAGTTTGTCGTGTGGCAATCTGGGTCTACCCGTATCTCTTCCAGACCTTTGATGATTAAGTCATTCTAGATCTACATAAGCCATTCACTCATGTGTAATATTTTCTAGTTGGCTGAATGGGTCAATAGATTATAAGATAATGTCTCTTCAGTTCTTGGGGTAAGTTTATTAAACTATACAACTAAGTGTTCTTGCATTATAGTTGATGTCAATCAGTGATGAAAACCTTAAACCTAACTCTAACTCCCTAATCTTAGCACTATTGATCACTTATATTTGTTATTTTGTAGTCGGCGGTTGTTTAGTGGGTCGTTCAAGCTCAATTTTATGGTTCAACTTTATCGTAATTTTACCTTTCGATAGTCTCTTTCCGATGTAACTAACGTATGTTATGTACGAGTGCCTACGTTGATTACGACAGGTTGGTTTTCTAGCTACTAGACATGTAAATGCATGTAAATCCGTTCCTCTGTTTATTTGTTTCTAATTAGGATTATCCAAAAACTGGAGTCTCGGCCACTCTGAATCCTTAGACCAGAGCAGCTTATTATGGAACTCGGTGTGTGTGACTGATAGTGAAGATAGTGTTAGTGGGGATATCATCCATAGACGTCCACTAGTAACAGTTGGTTCCAGTCAGGAAAGTAAGTGGTTTTCTGTTAATTTCAGCCCATTATTTCCCTCAGTAGAAGTTTGTTATCAGATCGTAAAGATAAACCAATGGGTGCATGCAGTTTATACTATAAATGTTTCACAATGAAGTTATACGAATTACTTGGCCCTTGCGAACGACATATGGCCCTATACAAAGCCATTCAGTCGAGAAATCTAAATCTTGCTGAAACCGCCAATTTCTTCATCACCTTTAGAATAATTCAGGCTTATAGTTGTGACAGGAAATATATTAATATTTAAAAAATACCTGGCGCAGTGAAGCGCTAAAAATACACCGCAGGAATCTATACACGTGAAAAAGGAAGCAGAATAATTAGAACAAAACTGTCAAAGAATACTGTTTAAATAAGAACATAAATTCCAGTTTTCTCAATGTAGACCTTGCTATTCATGCAGAATTCGAAGAAAACTAGGGGATGACTGTCGGACTTGAATTTTAAGGCTTCAGATAGCATCTCAAACCACCTGATTACATTATGAAGTAAATCTTTATCCGATAAATTCGCCTCTTCAATAGTAACTTGCTACACTGTGACCAGCAAATTAGGGGATTTCATAAATTTTTGTGGAGTGGTTGTAACTAGTTACGGCTGGTCTTTACCTCTAATCTTTCCCGCTCTACTGTATATATAATCCGTTTATTTTTGTACTGAATTCGATCGGGCAAAGCTGAGTTGTATTAGTGGATGTACATAAAGAGGATGTAACAATTAAGTATTTCATTGTTCTCTGAATAATCGGTTCTAAATAATTTCCGTTTTCTATCTACTTCGTTCACATTCTCAAGTAACTTGAGATATGCTTCGAGATCACTATCACAGCTTCGAATTCGCTATGTTTATTTTTAGTTTCTGATATTCATCATTGGTGGTAGATACTAGGAATATCTTTATGTTAACTTGTCATCATGTGATAATGTAGCTTACCAAACTTAATGATTTTGCATACATTTAGCTTTTCGGAATAGTGGAAATGTTCAACAATCCAATGGTCGTCCTGTACTTGGTTGTACTCGCCCTATAGTCCCGACACACAATCCACACGACGAGTTCTCGTGGGATCCTGATCCGAATTTTTTGAGGTCCGGTGTCAATCCGAACGAAATTGTTTCATGGGACACGTCACCCAATAGCGTGGTCAGCACCACTTGGGGGGCTCTTGGTACTTCCAGCTTAATAAGTTCTACACAAACTCACTTCCCACCTGTTTCAGATGATGTTAGGCATCAACAGAACTTCATGAGTACTAACTCACTTCCTCAGGGATCTGTAAGTATTTCTTCTTTAATGTGTTGAATTAACATTTAAAAGTTGAGAATGATATGATTTTATATTCAGCCAAATAGTTTGTTGTACTTATCAATGGTGCTGATTTGAAATCCATACCGGCATACAAGGAGGAAGTAAGTGGTCTAGTTTCTAGTCCAATACTAAAAAGCAATTGAGCTTACACAATATAAATTTGCATTTATTTTGTAACAAGTAACTCTGACTTTTATGAAATGCATAAAAGTTTTTGTGCGAGTAGTGATATGATAACTAAAACCATAGTGAGCTTTTGTATCTCAATAAGTTACGTTGAAACAGATTAGTATACATATCGTAAAAAACGTCTATTGTTTGTTACCTTTGCATCTTGAAACGCTAACCAATACCACGTGTCAAAGTGACTAGTGAGGATCCTAATTTTGTCTATGTCGTTTCTTCTACTTCTTATGTAGCATAGTGTCCCAGAATTGACCAATTATACGTCTGACCAGCACTGTTGACCTAAAGTCGACACAGTCAAACATTGCTTCTCTATCTTTGCTTTGAGACCAGAAAGTCAGTGGCCAGTTTCCATTATTACTTTATGGTGGAACCATAATATTTCGACAGCAATTCTTAAATTACATTGATAATCATTGAGCCAATGAGAATAAAATTGGTATACAGGAATAATTTACTGTATAATTATCCGACAATTTAGAATGTATAAATAGCTTTTACATGAATAATGATAGATTTTCAGTGGAGTTTTCAATATTATAATCATAATAGATCCGGTATATAGACTCGTCCATATGACTCCATATCATTTGACCTGTAGATCGAGGAAAATTTTTCAATCTGGTCCACATACGTTGTTAGTATGAACACCAGTTGTTGGGTCTATGCTAGGTTTGAAGCGGTTACGAGTTCACTTAGACAGCAAACGGAACAAGGACTTGTGTCCAAAAACCAATAAACTAGCTATTCTATTGCGTCCCAGCCCCACTAACTAGAGAGAGAAGTCGAAGTCCGAACGCGGATATATATTCCGCAGAAAAGACAGAAGCACGAGCGATAACAACAGACACAAATCAAAACGTATATATACAACGCAAAACTGTCCTTGGGAAGCGTTACAAAATAACAAGACACAACGGACCAATAGCGTTTAAGATTCTCCCAAGTGGGGAATACGACATGAAGGTGAAAAGAGCGCTTTTGGCGTGAAAACAAAGAAATTCAAAATTTCAGAATAAAATTACAAAATTAGGTCCTTTTCCGAGTGAGTTCTGGGATCTAACGTCCCCAACAGTCTACATAGTGCCTCATGTACTAACTTGCGATGAATATATTCGTGTTTATAAAGATACCGATACTCCTTACATATGCTTGTGTGAATTTTTGTTCCTGATTGCACATGCTGTTTAATAATTGGCAGGAGTGTTGGAGCCTTTATGTTTCGTATATATGTTGGTCATATCCTTTTGCGTTTTACAATCCCGGATTCCGAAAACTGTGCTACTAATGCTGAGAAAACTATTACTTACCCAATCCACTTTCACACTTCTGCTCGTTATACTTCCCCTTCCGGACGACAGTTTCATCAATTTCTGCGATCCCGCCAACACATCCAAAAGATATCTTTAGGTTCTTTAGCATTATCAAATAAGTATCTCGCCAGTAGTGATACCACTATTACTATGGCTTTTGTTACATCAGTCAGGACAGCTGCTTGAGTAGCTTGTAATTCCGAAATTCACCAGATACAATTAATATGATTTATCTCAATGTAATTTTAGAATGTTGGGAGAATGAATGGCATTCAAGTCCAACAAGACTGGCACCGCAAATCTGCCTCATCGCATGACACTAAAATGGGAATAATAAGCAGTTTAATAATAGTCAATGGGTTAAACCAGAGCTTAGGGTAAATAAGATATATATGCATAGTAATCCAGTTAAAAATTACACAATAAAAATATAAATAACAATAGTCCGAAAACCAGTTCCGAAAATTCCAGTTTGACAATATTCGTTGCTCTATTTTTTTGATGTAATTCGTTACTTTCTCAAACAGATATTTAATGCAATGCATTATATCAATACAGTCTTTTCATTTTTCTCAGTTTATCCAATCTTCCCTGTAATAATATGATAGTAATTTCAGTCCATCTACAATTAGTCATCTAAAAATAAAGCTTTACCCACCCTCTAACATGCATTTACTTCAGCATCTGTAATTAAGTTATTAGATCTCTTTCTTGCAACATAAACCATTTCGTAGTATTGTCCACTAATATCCTTCATCTTATACCCTGGATATGTTTTCCGTACTTGTTAGCAAGGCATTGATTGGATTAAAGCACGTTCCATACAGGATTATGTTAGAACATATTGACCCGGTTTTAGCTAATCAGCGTTAGCAGCTAATCGGAGGTTATAGGATATTCTTGTGTAAAATCTTAACAACACTAACGTTTTTCTTACTGTGACTATTTCATTAGACTTGGCTTGTTGTGGAATATAATTACGCACCAGTCCAAGCCGTATCCTCATTTTGGGAACTAGTCGATTAAGGTAATGTATCCGGAGAATACAAAGCAGTTAGGTTGTGCGGGTCGTATAACAAAAGATTTTACATCACTTTACTTCGTACCATGCTTTTCAGAAGGTAGATTTGCATTGCTTACGTTAAGTAGTATATATATCGTGATTAAAATTCTTTTATTTTCCTTAGGAACGATTACTAATTCACCCATACAGTAATACCTATCGCGCAGATCTGGTCAAATACTTAATGAGCCAAGGATTTAAAAGAGAAGATGCACATGCTGCGTTAATTGCCTCCAATATGGAACCAGATAAAGCTATAGTCGAATTACGGGAGCGTTACAGCACCAATAAGGCTATTAATGCCATGACACAACCTCCAGAGCTTAATCGTAATTATGGAGCTGATAGCGTTCTGCACGTTGTAACAAGAAATGGACCCATGTACCAGCTGTCGAATCATACGTCTTTATCACAGTTCGCACCTTCTGGAAATAACTCTTCGGTGTCTGCACAAAATCATCGTCTGAAGCAGTCAGGGTTGTGCGTGTCTACGCAAAGTAATACAACTCAACTTTTATCTATGCAACCAATCCCTAACTCTCAATTCATGCGACAGCAGATTACACAGCAGGTGATATGTTCACTCCAAATTATTGCATTATATAATTGTATATGCGGTTACATTATGTCTACTTTATGTACAACACATCTCTTCTAATCATACTGCCTTCAGCAGTCATCCAATTGCTGGCTTGTCTTCTGGACTAAATGTGCTTCTAAGATGTTGTAGCGCATATTGCTTTCCTAACTGATGCTTTTTTTAAATGTTTCTTTGATTTACTATTGATTTTATTGTGATAATTATATTTTATATGCATTGAATAAATGACAGGCTTTAATCAGTAGACTGAGTTCGTCTATCAGAGGTGAACTACCTAGTTTATTTAAATCGTTTAGGTTGGTGGATCACCAAGCCTAGACCTGAATACTCAACCGTTTTATTCAGTGAGATTAAGGCCTCACTAAACTAAAGATTCAAAATTTCAACCGTTTCGTTAACTGTCTGAACGCTGTTCTGTTTTAGTTTTTTGATATGTTTTGAATTAACGTAATACTTGTACGACTTGTGGTCTATAAAATTAGCCCAAGCTTCCTGAGTTCTAATTTCCGTATCTTGGTATCTGATTAACTGACTAACCCTCGCAGTGTGACCTTCAACCTGAACGTTTTAACTACTGGTTCTCCTTACAACTATTTGAATTAGAAGGTTAACACCTAAGGGTTATCTTTGTAGACTTATCACTCTTACTGTGACTGGGTCCGAGTTGCTATGGCAGTTTTAGCACCACAGTAGAAACAACTTATAACTTTATTAAGTTACCTGAAACAAAGTTCATTGATTATGGTCTTCAACTTTGTCACTCATTTGTAATCAAGCACTAATAGCATTCGTAATTTTCCTTTAGGTTCGATCGGCCTTAAACCTTTCCATTCCAAGTCCGTTAGGTGTACAGACGAATGGGAATGCCACAATGGGAACCTGTGGTGGTTCGCTTTTGGGAAAGCCCCCATCTCTTTCCTTATCAAACGTTAATTCCAACATTCAAAGTGCATCGTCTACTAATCCACATTCAAGCACCAGCCTACTAACTACTACTAGTTTATGTCCTATCAAAAATAATCGTACATCGACTGGACCAGCGTCTTTAAACCAAAACTCAGCGAAAAGGTCGCCTCGTCAAATTTCGATCATAAACTCCATGATTGAATTGCAGAAAAAACATCAGGTGGGTAGGATTGTTTCAAATTTGTATGCCTATTTATTGCATTTCATCCTTTTTGTTGTCAATAGGACATAAGAATTCCGCTCATCACGAATTTTATTTTTGTCTTATCAAATTCCATTTACAATTGTAAAACGAATATTCTCCCGGATGGGTTTCGAGTTACCGAATTATTTGCCTAGTAGGTACGAAATCGCTATGTGCGAAATGCTTATTTTTGGCAAACCTTGGCAGAGAATGTTTGGTTGTCATTTCAGGGTTTTCGAAGATCTTGGGGATGCTAGATCCCCAGAAATAACTTCCAAACGTCTCATTTTTGTAATTTTGAAATTTCATTTTCGCACCAAAAGCTCCTATTTATGCCTTCAGATTGTATTTCTCACTTCGAAGGACTTTTAATGTCATTGGTTCGTTTCCTCTTTTAATCCTCTATTTTCTGACGTTTACCAAGGACATTTTTATGTTCTATATGTAAGCTTGAGTTGTGTGCTTGTTTGTTTGTGCTTCCAGGCTGTTTGTGGAATATACTTTTCCCTCGGATGAATCTAGTCTTCTTCCTCTAGTTAGCAGAGCTGGGGCGCAGTCAGTAGTTTAGCTTGTCCTGTTGCGTTTATGACTTTCGATCTGTTCGCCTAGATGATATCATAATCTCTTCAAATGTCGCAGAAGACTGTGTATTAATAACAAGTATTCCAGCAAGTGAATCACGAAGCGTGTGAACTGTTTAAAAACAATGGTACAAAACTTATAAACTTACAGTTTATTGAAAGATCAAATGCAACCAGCCGTTGTCGAGCTCTGACATTCTCAAATCAAGTAATGACTTCTAGGAATATTCGTGATTTAGATTAACTGTATGCACGTTTGAAGATGTTACATCTTCTTCAACCGGTGTGTTTATACTAAAGTATCCATATAACAACGCATGCTGAATAACTAATATCGTTTGTAAAACACTCACTTAGTTTTATATCTCATCTGTCGAAATGATCTGAACCTGTTTCTTATCATCCTGATTGTTCTTCTATTTTCTGCTTGCAGAGTATTCAACACCAATTAAATATGTATCATAATAACCCTGCCCTTCGTTCACAACCTCAGTACGCGGACGTATTTGTTGAACTCCAAGGTCAAATGCAACAAATTGAAACTCAGTTACACGGAAAGCGAGCACAGCTTAACATAACTCGTGCTCAAGATTCTGTAACACAATCTGTAAAGAACCCTTTAATACCGACGAATGGTTAGTTCTTTATGGAAGGTATTTTTCTCAACTTCAGCTGTTATGCTTCATCAAGTTTAAATGATTGGTTTTGAATCTTGTACACAAAATGCACAACAAATGCAAGAAACTGACAAAATACCAAAACTGGAACTATAATATGTTTATATCGCAGTTTCTTCTGGTAGTCCTAAGTATATTAGTCATTGCATCCTAATTTTTTTACTTGAAGTAATCACCTTTCCCTCCAAATCATTAATATAGCGATAAACAAGGTTTTTTTATTCGGAAAGGAGTTTCAACACATGCTACCTGAACTAAGTTCCCAGTAAGCAAGTTTTTGTCACCTGATCAGTCATTCACATTCTACGTACAACCTGGCACTTGTGCATCGGTTCAATTTGCCACACCATATCATAGTGAGATAATTCCAGTAGTAGAACCAGTGACTGCATTAGTGGTAAATGAGAAGATTGCTCACAGAAGACATGATCCGAGAAAATTAAATTGGTGGGGTAAAATATTGTTTTTACGGTAATTAAGATCTAAGGGAAGACAAAAGGTAAATGTACCTGCACCATTGCAAACTATTCTGAGCCATGTTGCTCAAAGTCTTCGGCCATTGGTTGCGATAATCATGTGGACTACAACCAGGCAGTTTGTACCTTCGTGCACGACTTAGTCCAACTGTCAGTTACTTCATGGACTGATACCACGTTCCAGGTTTTCAATGGTGGTCTAACATCAATCGGTTCATGATCGCGATAAAAAAACAGTACTAATAATCGATGAATATGTTCTACTTTTACAGGCCACGTTCCATAATTACAAAGTAAAACAGAAATGATGAGCATATTCCCCCATTAGTTGGCAGGCAGATATCTAGTCTACACCATAAGTGACGCAAGTTAGCCTAATTTTAAGTTGTCTTCACTGCTCATCGTGTTCAGAGTCCGAAGAGATGAGTATCTAAGCATCTAACAATTCTGTGAACGCCACCAAAATCCAGTCTATATTAACCTTTTGTTTAAATAATTGTTACGTATCGCTTGTCAGTCTGGTGTTTTGTTTTCTTTTTAGGTACCGATATTTCTGATAACTCGTTTCCTGCTATTGGAACATGGATATCTCCTTCACCACAATGTGGCGAAAACTTTGATAAAAACATCATGGATGGATCAGGTATGTGAAATAAAATACTCTGTTTTCATTCTCAGTAACGTAAAAATCCGCGAAATATAGAATTGGTCTCGTTGTTTTCTAAGCCGTTGAAATTTTATCAATTTTGTTTCACTACTGCGCTCATACCGGCAAGGTGACTAATTGCTCTGGATAGCTTTTAAATTGTTTTCGTCGTTTACTACAGTATCCATGTATCTTATTCGTTAGTTCAACTTTTTATTTGAATTTCAGCTTTTTTTAATATAATCCAAAAGTGAGACAATTGTATAGACAATATATCACAAGTCGAGGAGCTTGTCAGTCAGTTGTTGAGATGAAACGTTCACTCGAATATGTTTTGACATGATATCCCGAGATCGTTATGAATAACGATGTTTCCTAGCACTTATTTAAACAAAAAGTTAATATAGACTGGATTTTGGTGGCGTTCACAGAATTGTTAGATGCTTAGATACTCATCTCTTCGGACTCTGAACACGATGAGCAGTGAAGACAACTTAAAATTAGGCTAACTTGCGTCACTTATGGTGTAGACTAGATATCTGCCTGCCAACTAATGGGGGAATATGCTCATCATTTCTGTTTTACTTTGTAATTATGGAACGTGGCCTGTAAAAGTAGAACATATTCATCGATTATTAGTACTGTTTTTTTATCGCGATCATGAACCGATTGATGTTAGACCACCATTGAAAACCTGGAACGTGGTATCAGTCCATGAAGTAACTGACAGTTGGACTAAGTCGTGCACGAAGGTACAAACTGCCTGGTTGTAGTCCACATGATTATCGCAACCAATGGCCGAAGACTTTGAGCAACATGGCTCAGAATAGTTTGCAATGGTGCAGGTACATTTACCTTTTGTCTTCCCTTAGATCTTAATTACCGTAAAAACAATATTTTACCCCACCAATTTAATTTTCTCGGATCATGTCTTCTGTGAGCAATCTTCTCATTTACCACTAATGCAGTCACTGGTTCTACTACTGGAATTATCTCACTATGATATGGTGTGACAAATTGAACCGATGCACAAGTGCCAAGTTATACGTTGCATATAAATTACGGAATATAGTTTTCAATTACAATTGGTTTATGATTCCATCTATTTTGCTGTTGGTGAGTATTTTCGAAACAGGTCATTTAGCGGATTTCCTTATTTCAAACTAAAGTGTGCTTAATTGATATATCTTTTTTGCAATACTCTCGCTATTTATTTATAGCTTCTAAGTTGAACAACTTCACGCGCACTCCTTCTTGCAAAATATCTGGTAGTTGGTCTCCTACCTGGTCTTCATCTGTTATAAATCCATCCTGTCCAAATATTCGATCCATTCATAATCAATGGCAACTAATACATAATCAACAACGATGTGCTTTAGAGAGTAACTTAAAGTTTCCGGTGTCAAAAAATAATCCTTCGAGTACCCTATCTATTGAAGCTCAAGGTCAATGGCTACTAGTGCAACCACTCTTAGGATGGAACGGTACAAACATTCACAGCCTGCAAAACATTTTATCAAATCATTTTAAACTTACTAGTTTTCATGTTTTGAATCCAAGCAGCTGTAGTGTACTTATAAGGCTTCAAAATATAGAGGACTCACTGCCGTTAGTGAAGTTTTTTGGCGACCGTTTATCTGTAGAACCGTTGTCTGATCACGATGCTCGCGTTCATTTGCAACAGCTAGTATGTTACGTGTCAGTTTTTCGTTTTAAATTATTTTGTAAAGTTCTGCTGCTTACCCTGATTTTCTTGAAAACCTTCAAGATGTTTTAAATAAGCAACTTTTAGCATTCTGCTTAGCAGATAACTTAGTACCGTCTCGGTTAACTTAAGATTATATCTGTAGAACCTCACTACAACATTAATTATAATAACTACGATTTTTGTTCCAAACAGTTGTAAAAACAACAATATGTAGTCAACTTAAATTTTCACCTCATTTAATCCTGTTCTTGTTGTTTACACAGGCTCTATACAAGCGCATATTTGTTCTCAATAAGTACCATGTGTAACCTTCATCTGATAACCCGTGATAGATTGTTGAAATACTTCCCACAGCTTTTCATTTGTTTTCTATTCGTATTTTTCGTCTGGAGTATCCATTTGTGTACGGTTTTATGTTTTTCACTAGATTAATCTTCCCTGAAAATATCTTCAGTTTTTAGATAATGTCTTATTCAAAGATAAAAGTAATTTTCGATATCCATTCTTCTCAGGTGTCATACTCTATGTGGAAAGCCTAGTATAATCTCAAAATAATCGTCTGTATGTATTTCATTTATATAGCATTTGTGACTATGTAGACTACATGATGTTTCTCAACTTTTTTAATTTTTATTTTAGTCTTTGAACGCTTGTGGAGATGGCCTAATATCCAATCAGTTTAATACGTCATCTGATATACATGCCACACCACCTAGTTTGAATAGCAATGGACAGTTTTACTCCCCCATGAATTCAAATAACAAAAAGACTAATCCTCATATAGCTCGTTTTGGAATAACTGTATGTGGAAGCAAGTAAAGATTTATATTTGTGAGAAAGATGGTCGTCTCATGGAATCTCTTTTATTCTCTAAATATCTTAGGGAAGTCTTCCAATCTCAACGCTTTCGCGTTCAGATTCACGTCTCTGAAGCGCAGCCAATCTGTCAGTATAAAAGTTAATGACTAACTTAAGTTATGCTCAAGTTTTGCCAGTATGTATTACTCTTTGAATACCCCTATTTAGTTCATCGTTTGCTGTGCCTAAGAACATTCTGTGATCCAATATTATTACAATCATACGTTTTGAATTTACAAAATTATATGCGGATCAAAACTAGTCAGAATTGCCTTGTTAATCATAAACATCCTCTTTATCCATATTTTCCCCATCTGATATATATATATATATATATATATATATATATATATATATATATATATATATATATATATATATAAACATACCTCATTGCCTTTCAATCATCATTAGTTCTGTGTTTGTGAATGTATCCTGACTGTTTGTCTGTTGAATGTTGCAGTTTCATTTTTAAACCGTTCAGTTTTAGTAGTCTTTCATTTGTGTGCTTTTTTGGACAGCCTCTGATCTGTAAAATCGTTTCATTACTTATCTTTTTGTAAAGAGACTTCTAGTATCGCTAATGTTTCAGTCTGTTTCTGGTTTATAAGTCAAGTGTTTCCCTCGTCCATTTTGAATAGTATCTAGTTTGTCCTAAATATTGTATGGTTGATATACCTATACTTAGTTTGTACTCTTTTGATTTCCCTCTATATGTAGTACATTTTGTGTGTTTTCATTGAGCTAATCAAAGCTAAACTGAGGATGTATTTTTTCATCTTAGTACAACATAGACCATGTCCTTTGATAGCCCCTAACTGTGATGTATTTAATTATGCTCATTGTTCTAATTTCCTCATCATTTCTCTCGTCTTTAAAATGCAAAAAATATTTGGTCTTCAACTCTAAATACACTGTCTTAACTGTAGACCGGTGCAATATGTTTCTTGTCCCTCAAATTGTGCTCTAAACATTACTTACCTACCTCTTAATAGCAGTAAATTCGTTTGATAAGCTTGTAGTCCATGCACCGTGTGTATGATCAGTAATACTTTTTTTCTTTTGACGACATTAAATGTGCATCCTATATTATCAAATTATCGCTTAATAATTATAATAAAAGAACTATAACCTACTATGTCATCAGAAATGTTTAATTTTTGCAGATTCAGCCGAAATTACACAAATCCATTATCATGAATAACTTGTATTAGTGTCTTTATATATATATATATATCCAATCAAATGGTCATCCGTTATGTACTTTGCTTGTAATTGTTGCATCCAGTTTTTTCTCTGCACAATGGTCAATCTAAGAATCAAACTATGCTTTTCTGCTTCTCTTCAGTGTGTATGAATATATACTTATTCCGTTTTATTTAATTATTTTGAACTCAGTAATTCTGGCTGTTTATCACAAACTATTCTGGGTTAGTCTTTCTAATTCTCATGTCTTGTTGTTGATGATTGCATTTTCCTTTAATAATTCTAGATATAACTATACTTTTGTGTTTACCTTTCTGTATAATCTGTCTGAATTGTTTTTACGCAGTCGCTTTTGTTATCACAACGACTAAGTTCTTTAATTTATCATGTCATGTGCTCTGTTTTCCTTTGCTAAATAACTCATTCCGGTGCAAAGCTATATTATGTTGCCAAACTTGTTTAAATCCCATAGTATCTGTATTTTCCCTTGTTTTTTAATTTCTGCCACATCTTCAAAATATCTTTGTTTTTTTTAACTTAGTGGATTGCGAAATTATTCTGCCTACTTATTACCTTTTACTCTAACCTGTGATCAGATCCATGTGTTGTAGCTACTGCGCACTTATCTCGCGTATTTTGATGTATTATTTTTCATTCCATTTATGGGCCATTGTTTTTCTTTTATCGTTATGTTCGTGTCTTAAATGTTAACTGATCTACATTTCCAGGGATCCAGAACATTTTGTGATGCTTTTCGTGCCTGTGCTAACTGACTAGTTAGCATTATCCATATCACATGTGCTTCCACTCAATTCTGTTTACAGCTGCAAAACAATGTAGGAAGTGGACTCACATAAAATAATTGAAAGCACCATATTTTATTCAAAACTTCTTTGGTTGTGTTCAACATAGTCCCATATTTCTCCACATATCGTGGGTGCTCACAGATCAGTGTAGACTTTCATACTTCAGAAATCATTGTGCTCTGTTTTGCAACCTCTTGATTCAATAAATTGAAAACAATAGGTCGTCCAGTTTCATTTTCAAATCCTAATTTTGTTGGGACCCAGCATTCTTTTTTTCTGTGTCCAGTATTGAATTTGTAGTCTTGTTAAGCATAATCATGAATTTGAAATAATACCGGATTTTATTTTATGTTAGATTTGCCGTTCCTTCACTTTATGTTCATTGATTATTTCTGTCATTCTCATATCCTATCACCTACTCTTTTCATTACCCTTGCTGTGCTGATACTAATTATTATCCAGTAAAGCATTATGGTCTCTTGTGTTTTCTTTAATAGCAAAACTCGGCTGGCTCCAGGAACCTTTATTTTATCCAATTCCTGTAAGACAATGTTCTCTTAGAATTATGATAATTAATGAAGATAAAGGTTTTTAGATTATTTGCGTGACTTCTTACTGGCTCTCAATGTCCTCTGTCTATTTTCATCGTTTCCAGCTCAGCCTTCTGGACTTGCCATTTTTGCGCCAAGTTGTTTCACTAGATATTGACTATTTAGCATTGTTTGCTGTGCCCATTGGATAAAGGTTTTTTTAAAAATATTTCAAGCTGTCTTGTTTTCATTGTTGCTTCTGAGTTTAGTTTATGAACGTTTCAGTGTGTTCCATATTTTCTACATGGATAGTTAATTCGGATTTCATATTTGAATCATCTGGTCAATTCTTAAAAAATATTTGTTCATTCTGTTGGACAATAAATCTTAACGTCGAGTCCTTTGTTTTAATCGCACGCATTAAGCGTACAACTTATGTGATTTAAAACACTCAGTATCGAACATAATAAGTAGTCAAAACGTTTGAAAAGTCTTTAAGGCAATATTTGTTCTGCCATTAGGTTCTCAGGTTCACAGAACGTTATGATTGTCTAGTCGAGTGTATATATATATATGCTTAGTAATCCAGTTAGCAATTACACAAAAATATATTTAGCAATTAGGTCGAAAATCAGTTCCGAGAATTCCAGCTTTACAGTATTTGTTTTGATGTCCCGGACGTTGTGGTCGGGCTTGCTTGTCGTGATGATCCAATTAAGTATACTGGCTGGAGAATCGTCCTTCAATGTCCTGCCACGATAGAGAGGTCGGTTGAAGTGCAGTAAGACTAAAAGCAGCCCACTCAATGTCTGAGGTCGAACTGCTCGCTGTTCAGAGGTCTGATGCAGAAAGGTGATCCCTTCCTACAACCCGCATAATAGCGATGCTGCCTTCCCACTAGGAGGGGTGACGGTAGAATAGGACGACCCTAAAGATGCATACCTCGCCTTACCTCACGGGTGTCCGTCTCCAGTGGTGAAGTCTCAACAGGTACAGAGCTAACACGAGAATTACTCACAAAAAGGTCGAATGTGACCGACATCGAGCAGTTGTCCCTTGGGCGGTAACTGCCCTCATACCTTTAACGGCACTCAAGATAACCGTATCCATAATCGATCTCCCTCTTTAGTTCCTATTATTACTCCTACTTCTACATTCAACTCTAAATTTCCTCAAATATCACCATGAACGATTTTATTGAACGAAACACTATCCCAGGTTTACTAAAACCGTGCTGCAAACTTCACGTTGGAGTCCTCAACGTACGCACCCTATGCCAAATCGGCCAGCAGGTCTATCTGACTAAAACAATTGGATCTCGCACCATTGATGTATGCTGTGTCTCCGAAACATGCGTACAGTATCCTAGTGTGGTCATTCACTTGACCTCACCAAACCGGAGAGACAAAGAGACCTTGCTTGTCCCTGGCGACCGATGGCTAATTCTCGTGGACTGACAGGTGTAATTAAAGCACTAACTTAGAGGACAGAACAAGAACTATTAGAGTGGATCCCCGTTAACAGTCGTCTATGTGCTGTTCGGCTAAACGGCTTCGGAAGAATGGGAACACACGTCGTTGACTTTTCGTCGTTTCTGCCTACGCTCCTACTGACTGCAACCAGGATGAAGTGAAAGATGAATTTTACAGAAAGCCTTCTGAACTTCTTCAGAAAGCTAAACGTTCAGATATAGTACTCGTAGAAGTTGCCCATTTAGGCAGCTTAAACCAAATAAAGAGACCACATTGTCATCAGTCATCGTTGGGAAGGGTCGGTAGACGATTGTCACTTGTTCTGGAATGCATGTTTGAATTGCTCTAATACGAGCATGCATTTGCTTGCGCCTCACTGGACGCAGGATAGCCTCATTCCGAAAACCTTTTGGAATTGAATTGAGTGGTGAGAAAGAAAAAGTAGATTCCAGGAAAAACTGAGATCATACTTCGTCAGTTCTGAAAACAAGGCTGATCCAGACGATGCCTGGAAAGATATACAAACAACTGTGGAAACAGCAGTGATATCTGTTAATGATTTAAACCAATGGATTTCTTCTAGGTCTGTTTCACTGATAGATCCTCGTAAACTCATTAGATCAGGCTCTAAATACGATGAAGATCTAGGTTAACCAAAAATCCAACGAACGACCGAAAGCAGCGGTGAGAAACGAATGCAAAGGAGATGGAAAAGATGGTGGCAGATGTAGGTAACACAAGACAGTTCTTCAGATTCATGAAAGAAACAGGAGCTAAAAAGTCACGGATGGTCAAAATAAATAAGAGAGGGTGAAACACACTAAGAGAGAAAAGGAAACGTAAGTTAGATGAAATGCTGTGCGGCAGACGAATATTGGGGTCTGGAATTTAAGTGTTAGGTGGTGGAGCGTGTGTGCCGGAAATTCGCTATGAGTATGTAGTGTATG